ACCGCAATAGATTTTTGTTCTCTAGATTAACAACAATTCGAGAATAATTACAAAAACTTAATTATCTCAATCTTTTCTTACATATTAGTCGAATAAAACAAGCTATTTTCTCAACCCTATTCATTAAACAACTTAGAACAAGCTCTCTAGATTTAATTTAACAAATGCATTATGATAAAAGAGATGATATTGAATTAAGGACAAACTTACAAGCTCGGTTTACTAACTTAAGTGTTAATCCACATACATTCAATTGAAAATTTTTCATAATCTATCGAAATGTGATTGCTACAAGGTTTTAGAATAAATAGCTATTACGTACTATAAATCCCAAAATAGCATTAATTGAAACAACCCAATTATTTAGTTGTACGCCTAAATAATCAAGAAAAACAAAATCAACATTTAACAAAATGGATTAAACACATCAATCAAGAGAACTATAAAGCACAAATTAATTGAAAATCATAACTCGAGTTTGAAATAATTCCCAATCACCAATATATTTAGTTACCCATGAAATATTCACAAATAACTAACAAAGTCTTACAAAACATTGATGGAAAATAGAAAAAAGAAAAACTTATTGATGAAGAGAAATTGTTGAGAAATCTTCTATATTAATGGATCTTCTTCCCCAAGCTATTTCACCAACAACTTGCTCCAATCTTTTCCCAAATATTCAAGAAAATTTAGGTAAAAGGAAGAAGGGAAAAGAAAAACAAAAGAAAAGAGAAAGAAAAATCGTCAGCCTTGTAAAACTGGAAGAAGAAAGTCCCCGTCTGTGGTTGAAATCTTTCCTTTTTAATTAAAACCTAAGAAAAATTGCAGCTTGGTCCCTGGAATTTAGAGAAAAAAAAAGCCCCTGAGTGGTGCCATAGATTCTGCCTAAAATGGGCTTCAGCGCTCGGCACTGCAGTGCCCAGTGATTTTTTTTTTCTGAAATCGGTTACGTCTTCGAGCTTCCTCTTCGTTTCTCGTTATCTTTTTCGTCTTTTCTCGAATTCCTTCAAATCATCACTCAACGTCGGGTTTTCACCTACACAATAAAAACAACTAAATTAGATAATAAATCGCTAATGAAACTCACAAATATCTATGTTTAATGGCCCGAATAAGTGCAAAACCCCACACTTATCAATTGTTACAAGGTCTTCCTCTATTTATGTTTGAGTAGATTGGAATTATACTTCTCCACGCTAATCCCATGATCCAATTTTCGAGACGGATACGCCAGATGGTAGTTTCTTACCAAGTCAGAGTGGTAGCTTGTTCACTCTTGTCGGTATCGTCGAGACTAGTTCACATATTTTCAATAGCAGCACCATTTCTGATCAGGTTTGAAATCATTTTTGGGATATATTTCATGAAATCCAGCTAAGGAGTTAGATCCTAATTCTTGCGATGGAATTACTCGGGTCAGTATAAAGGCTACTTTTGCACTATCATCTCCCTACTTATAGTTTGGTTCTTATGGCTTGCAAGGAATGACGCGAAGCACAATGACATACACATGGAGCCTAAAGGGATAATTTGGAAAGTCTATCATGAGCATTCATTTCTTCATATGGTGCTTAGTTAAGACTAGGATGGACGTTATATTGGGGCCTTCTCATCATCTTATGAAGACTGTCTTGTCTTGGAGGTTGAGTTACTCACTATCTTAGAGGGATTTCACTTGCTCGACCACTTGATTTATCAGACATTAGGGTAGAGACAGACTCATTGCATCACTAAGAGTGGAAAACCATGGGCAATTCAGATCATTATCAAATGGATTAGACATCTTCTCTCATTTGATCATGATACTTGAAAGGGGGCCAAAAAACCCACACAATAAGTTGCAAGATACAATCGATCACAATAACAGAAATTAAACTTGCAGAAAGTAAAGAACACAACAAAATTTTTTGGTCGTAGCCCCAGAGGTTCAGCGACTAGCACCTAGTTCCCTGTTGAGAATCCAATCGAAGTGGATATTGCTCGGTTGTACTAAAGCCCCAAAAACAGACAATCGAAGGTTACAGAATTCAACCACTACAAGAATACATAAGAAAGAGACTTATCTCTTCGAAGGAACCACAGATCTGCCTCAGACTCACAATGAATCAACAGAAACATCCCTAACGTCAACACATGAGGACTCTAAGTATCACTCAAGAATATACCAGTATTCAGTGATTATCAGCCTTCCAAAATACACATCGAATGAGATGATCGATTATAGAAAATAGAGAAAATAGAAAACCCTAACTCGAGAGAACAGAAGAACACTCTCGAACCTCACTCAAGAGTCAGATGGAATGAAAAGTCTCACGGCCAAATGAATCGTCAAATCTCATTTATATCACCAAACATGTAACCCTTCATCCAACGGTAGGAATAAAGCCAGGTGTCATCATTAGGCAGAATGTCATTTATAAAAGTGCATTTTCATAACACGTTTTGATGGCTAAAAATATGGAAGCACCAATAACATGGTTTGAGTCACAACAATCTCCACCTTGCTACCATATTTCCTGGTTTAGTGCAGCTAGAAGACAATATCACTTTCTCCTTTTATTTGCTCCAAGTACCTACAATTTATCACATAGAGTCAATAGATAATGTCTTCAAATAGTTTTTAAATTTGTTCAAAGGTAATATCTTTGTTCCCTTATTAGATGGGTTATACCGAGTACGTACTTTACCAATTTTCAAAACACCTTTTGAAATAATATCTCTAATAAAGTGATACTTAATGTCTAGGTGTTTAGTCCTATCATGATACATGGGATTTTTACTAAGATGTATAGCACTTTGATTATCAGAATATAACGTTGCATTTTCATCAACAACTCCAAGTTCCTTAAGTAAACCACTTAACCATATTCCTTCTTTAAAAGCATCAGAAGCAGCAATGTATTATGCTTCAATTGAGGATAAAGCTACAATCTTTTGTAATTGTGATTTCCAACTAATTACTGTACCATATAAGGTAAAGAAATAGGATAAAGTTGATTTTCTATTGTCCCTATTTCCAGCAAAATCAAAATCAGTAAATCCCTTTAAGGTTACTCCTTTTTTGTTCATTTTAAACACAAGACCCAAGTTTACAGTACCCTTTAAGTATCTCAAGAGC